ATCGATAGCTACACCTTCGACACTGCTGAGCAATAAATCTACTTCAGCTACCCACTTAATGTCGTCGTTTACTGAATTACCAACATTGATCTCCCTATCATCATCGATAATCAATGCCAGGTTCTCGTCGGCCACTCAATTACCTTTATCTCCAATGCACTCTCGAACACCTACACCTGAATCCTCAATAATGATGATGGATGAAGTTACATCCATACCGCTATCATCCAGAACGACAACACAAAATGGTACATCGATACGATCAACTTCAACAATTGTAAGGGATGAACATACTTCTGTTACTACCATGTCTTCATCCTTCATTGAGACAACATCACCGATCTCTGTATCTGCATCGATGATTAATAACAGTTTTTTACCAACAACTGAAAATATTCCATCGGCAAATCATTCTCTAACAGATGTATCTGAATCCACGATAACGATCACGGGTGAAGTTACCTCAATACCTCTATCGTCGATAACGACGGCATCAAACTATACATTAGTTGTTACACCTATAAAAATGGTGAGCGACGAACGAACTTCTAGTACCAATATGACGTCCTCCTTCACTGAACCAACAGCAATGATCGCTGTATCATCATCCATAATCAATAACACGTTTTCGTCGACAACTCAATCACCTTTACCATCACATCAGTCTCTAACGCCTACGAGTGAGTCCTCAACCGTAATGATACGTCAACCTACATCAATAACTCTTTCATCGAGAACTACGACACAAAATCAAACATCGATAACATTACCTTCAACAATGGTAAGCGATCAACGTGCTTCGACTACCGTTTGGATGTCGCCTTTCACTGATCGAACAACGTTAACTTCTGCATCTTTATCGATGACAAATGATATGTTTTCAACGACCACTCAAAAAGCTTCGTCAATAAATCAGTCTTTAATACCTATTGGTGAGTCTTCAACAATCATGATGGGTCAGCCTATGTCAATACATCTATCATCGCCCATCATGACGCAAAACCACACATCAGTGGCTACATTTGCAACAATAGTGAGCGCTGATCGTACTTCTGTTACTAACATGACTTCGCCATTCACTGAGGCATCAGCTTTGATGCCTACGTCCTCATCAATAATCAATGATACATATCCGTCGCCTACTGAAATACCTTCGCCAACAAATCAGTCTATAGCATCTACACCTACATCCTCTACAATGATGATTAGTAAAGCTACGTCAATATCTCTATCATCATCAACTATGACACAAAACTATACATCGATAACTACACCTCCGACACTGCTAGACGATAAACATACTTCAGTTACCCACTTGACATCGTCATTTACTGAATTACCAACATTGATCTCCCTATCATCATCGATAATCAATGCCACGTTTACGTCGACCACTGAATTACCTTTGTCTGCAAATCACTCTCGAACATCTACACCTGAATCCTCGACAATGATAATGGATCAAGGTATGCCCATACCTGTATCATCAACAATGATAGCGCGAAATCATACATCGATAGGATCAACTTCAACAATTGTAAGCGATGAACATACTTCTGTTACCACCATGACTTCGTCGTTCATTGAGACAACTTCACCGATTTCTATATCAGCATCGATGATTAATAACAGATTTTTATCAAGTACCGAAAATATTTTATCGGCAAATCATTCTCTAATAGGTGTATCTGAATCCACGACAACGATCACGAGTGAAGTTACCTCAATACCTTTATCGTCAAGAACGATGGCGCCAAACCATACATTAGTTGTTTCACCTTTAACGATGGTGAGCGATGAGCGTATTTCTAGTACCAATATGACGTCTCCCTTCACTGAACCAACAGGAATGATCCCTGTATTATCATCCATGATCAATAACAGATTTTTGCCGACTACCGAAAACACTTTATCGGTAAATCATTCTTTAACATCCATGTCTGAATCGTCGACAATGATATTCGGGAAACCTACATCAATATCTCTGTCATCAACAACAATGATGCAAAACGAGACATTAGTTCCTGCACCATCAACAATAATGAGCGATGGGCATACTTCGATTACCAACTCGAGACCGTCCGTGACTGAGCCAACAACGTTGGCTCTTGTACCACTATCGATAACCAATAGTATATTTCTGTCGACCACTGAGAAAGCTTCGTCAATAAATCAGCTTTTAACAGTTACAGATGAGTCTTCAGCGATCATGACAAATGAGCCTACGTCAATACCTCTATCATCGAGAACGATGATGCAAAACCATACATCGATGGTTGCACCTTCAGCAATGATGAGCGATGAACCTACTTTAGTTACCAAGTTGACTTCGTCGTTCAACGGGGGAACAACATCGATCCCTGCTCCGTTATCGATGAGCAATCATATATTTCTGTCGACTACTGAAAAACCTTTATTAGCAAATCTCTCACCAACTGGCATATATAATTCTTCAACAATGAGGAGTAGTGAAAATACGTCAATGCCCCTATTATGGACAACGATGATGCAAAACCATACATCCATGGTTACATCTTCAGCAATGGTGAGCGATGAACCTACTTCAGTTATCCAGTTGGCTTCGTCGTTCAACGAGCCAGCAACATTGACCTCTGCTTCATTTTCGATGAGCGATCATATATTCTTGTCGACTACTGAAAAACCTTTATCAACAAATTTTTCGCCAACTGGCATATATGATTCTTCAACAATGAGGAGTAGTGAAAATACGTCAATGCCTCTATTATGGACAACGATGGTGCGAAACCATTCCTCAATGGCTGCACTTTCAACAATGATGAGCAATGACCGTACCTCGATTACCAACTCGAGGTTGTCTTTCACTGAGCTAACAACATTGACCCCTGTACCATCATCGATGATCAGTGATATATTTCCCTTGACTACTGAAAAGCCTTTATCAACAACTTCATCTCTGACACCTATACCTGAATCATCGACAGTAATGATGGGCGCAGTTACGTCAATACCTGTATCATCGACAGCAATGATGCAAAACCATACATCGACTGCTGCATTTTCAACAATGATTACCGATCTATATATATCGGTTTTTAATTCGTCTTCGTCATTGACTGAGTCAACCGCCTCTATTAATGCATCGTCACTGATGATGACTAGCAAGTTGACATCATTTACTGCACCACTTTTCGCCACGACTGAATCAAACTCGTCGTTATCTGCCTATTCGACAGTGATGTCTGGTCGGCTTACGACAGTTACGTCACCTCTTTCTATAATAGCGGAATCTAGCACATTGGTGTCTACTTTATTAACAATGATTTCTGATAGGGTTACGTCAAGTAATACATTATCGAAAGTGATGACTGATCGGTCTACGTTCATAACGGAATCGCTTACCTCAGCAACTGAACAAGATACAAAAGTACCAGCATTATCATCTTCGTCGATGAATTCTTACGCGTCAGTAACAACGTTCAACTCGTTACCGACTGACTCAAAGGCATTGACACTGAGTTCCACAAGCTCCGTGATTCAGTCATCTACTTCGAAAACTCTACATTCGATGACTCAGACTGTGACATCCGCGCCAACAACTGAATCATTTCTTGAAACCACAGTGCTGCAAACGACAAAACGAAACACTCTTCCTCTTGAATTTGACGAGTTTTCCACTTCTCCGACCAATGAATAAAGTAGCTAATCCGCGAACTTTATTGTCAAGAAAGTTACTACCTACAGTAAATAAAGTTATTGATGTTGTTGAAATCCTTTATGTCATACAAAAAATATACATTGTTTTGTTTCTTTAAACATTTTCTGTAGCTATCTATTTTTTAAATTGAGAATATAATTTTTGTATTGAAATATTCGTTTGGCATAGATTATATGTATTGTTTTGGCTATTAGATGCTATACAATTAGAATATTTATTTTACAATAAATTATTCGAGTATATAGAAAAGCATTGACATATCTCTCTTCGCTAATATAATTTCTATGATGACGTTGTGTCTTTCAAATTGTTTATAAGTTTGTTGTCGTTGAATTAGTTGTTAAAACGATTAACATTCAAGTTGATAAATCCCAAATAAAGGCTGTAAGATTGGCATTACTTGAATTAAGAAGCAACAAATGGCATATAAATTGGAATAAAATGAATATGCTTCGAAAATATGTCGATTTATTTGAGATGAAATATTGTTTAATAGTACTATTGTATTGATGTCGGATGATAAGAATAAGACGCTTTATTTTTTTTGGTTGAGAATAAAGAAAGACTAATTTTTTTTCTAACGTTTTACCAATCCAATGTAGCATTGAAATATATTGACACAGGATAGTTTCATTATTTTAGAAATATGAAAAAAACAAGTTTCATAACAGTCTAATAAAAACATAAGACCGAATGTTGTTTTATTTCATAAACCATGTGAAATAATTCATTTGGACAAGAGTTTACAAAATAGACTCACATTAAACTTAACAATAAAACAAAATGTTTTTTTTCCTATTTTACTAGTAAAAAATCAACGATTCTTGTTGTGTGCATTTCAGTTTTCTGAATACTCAATTATTTTGATTGTATGAGTCATACAGTAATTGACCTTTACTCTTGTATTCAAGTTTCAATACTATTAGAATATAAGATAATTCTTAATTTAGAATTATTTATTGCATCATTTTGAAAAATATTTGTGTATTTCGGTTTTTGAATTTAACCAATTCAATGATATTCACTAAATACTAAATTTTTCTATAAGAACCATTATGTATCATAAATCGTCAATTGTACTTTTTAAAGAAAAAAAAATTAAGTTTCAATTTTATTAGTAATTATAAACATTTATTATGCTTTCATATCATAACAGTAAGACAGACACGTGATATAAGGCACCTTTAATTTTAAAAATCTCTCTTACTTGATCCCTACTCGCCATACGCTCGATTCAGTTGTTTTAAAAAATACAAAATATCTATATGAAAGAAATTTCAGGTTTTAATATTTAATTATTTATTTGAAAATCCTGAATGGACATTTTTTTTCGATTAATGGCTTAAAAAAATTCTATTGACTATAATTGTTGAAAATGCATGAATCATTTAATGTTCCCATTATCAGAAAACAATTATAACAAAAATTTATACTCATTTTAGACACGAAAAAAAACAATTTACTCACTGTATAAACAATGTTTCTATTGTTGTACATTAACGATACTTCTTTCTAGAAAATTATAAATATGTTATTTCAATCTCACCTACCATATAGTGAAAGTTGCAATGCCGGCTTTTTGAAATGAACTTTGTTATTATTTTATTTAAAAAGTACTTTTATGAATAGATGAACATTTTTTTTTCATAACTTTTCCATGTATTACACTTCTCATATCCTTTTTTTCTGCATAAAAAGTAAAAACGTATCAAAGAACGCTCTGTCAGGGACTGCAATTTGACATGTTCTTCCAAATAAAAAAATAAAAAAATACATAGAATAGGGATCCAATGAGAATTTATGATTGTCAAATAAACTATTTTTTTTAATCTTTGTTTGATGAATATCTCCGTTGTACGTCATCTAATGAAGCTGAAAAATTCATGGAATATCAATGTACTCATATCTATAGAATATCTTTCATTAAAAGAAACAACTATTACAAATGAATTCTCATCTTCTTTTATTTGTAACGATTTTAATTAAAAAAAAATAAAATCAACATTATTCATGATTTGTTCATTAAAATTTAAACAAGAAAAATATCTTTTGGTAAATCACTACCAATTTCAAATGTAGCCCAGTTTTCTTGAGGTATATTATTAAATATTTGTTCTAAACGTTGTTGACCAATTGTATCATTTTTATATTTTCGAATAAAAATTTTTTCTATTCGATTAGGATATTTCATATAAATACTTGCATATATATCAGGATCTTTTTGAAATATATCACCGATTAAAATAAATCTACGATTTAATGTATTATTTAAAAACATATCTATTGCTTCTGTTTTACTTTCAATATAATTATTCGACATGAAGAATGAAATAAAATTTGTATCAAACCATGTAAAATGACGCATATGAAATGAACCTAATGGAAATTTTTCACGATTAATAAATTCACGTAAAAATGGATAAAGTTGATCTGGTGATGCTGTTAAATATGCAAATGTTGCATTATATTTTTTTTGCCAATATTGATATATATCGGACATGCCTAAAACAGATTTATAACTACCAGTAAAAGTATTCATAAGTGTTTCTGTTGATGATGTAACACCTGTCACTTTTATTGTATCATCAATATCACTTATAAATGTTATACCATTATCATCACATAAATAAATTTCACCTATAAAAGAATAAAAACGAAAATAATTTTCATTATATAATTCGATTTCTAAATAATCTTACCAATTGTTCGAATATTTTTATTGAATACTGATTGTTGATAAAGTATTTTAGTACCATTAATATCAGATTGAATTAATTGATCAATTTCATTTTTACTAATTTGAAATGTATTTTTAATTCTACCTTCATGATCTGTATGTGTACAAATTGATTGATTGAAATTATCAATACATACCTTTTTATTTTCTTGTCCATCAGCAGTAAATAATTTAATACGATTTATGTCAAAATCTTTTTCAATAGTTTTTTCTAATATTTTTTCCATTACTTTTGCTTGTAAAGGATCTTCTTCATAATACCATCCTTGATTAGATACTATCCAATTAGTTGAAGATATTTTTGAATGATCTCGAAAAGCAACTGATGGTAGAAGAATTAGATCTTCTTTATCATCAAATAGAAATCCATTAGTTTTTATTATGAAAATAAAAATAATATATACAAATATATCAACCATGAATACTTGTGATTGTGTACAACTAGTTGAATTCGTATGCTTTTATATATACTAATAGAAAAATTAGAAAAAAACAAATTAATCATTTACATAATATGCATCCAATGAATAATGTTTAAGGTCCGCCTATTCTTTCTTGTCGGAGGTATACCTTGACATGCATTTGAGGATGTTTATGAATTTTAATATTAAATGAATCATTGAAGACATCTATTCTCTGATCGTTCATACGATAACAATGAGTAATTGATTTAATGATACGTAGGCTGTTATAAATGTATGTAACAACAAATATTTCTTGTACTTCCTTTGAATCTTTCTTCCATCTAAAATTATGATTCACAAAATAAATAAATAGTGTCTACAAGATTCAATTTCCTAGTTAAAAATTGTCAATATTATGAATATTTTATAGTTAAAAAACATAAAATAAGATTATCATTTGTGATCATATTTTATAACGAGATAATCAATTAATAATTATTGTCCGATCGATTAAAAGTCCAAATGAAAACTTCATTGTTTTTTTCTTCGTTCATTTTCATTTCATATTGAGATGTTCTCCTGTTTATTATAAATTATAAATTGATATGAATTTGCTATATATCTACAATTATAATGTTCTACTCATTTTGAAAGGCGTTCATTAATAAAGATTCCACTATATTTATCGTAGAATTTTACGTCAATTTGTGTGTATACAATCGTTGTATAATTTCAAATCTAGTATTTTGTATATATTGTTACAATCTTTATTTTCATTTGTACATCATTCAAATTCACTTAATATATTTATCAGATGCTGCATATACGTGATACTATTACCTTGTCCGGAAAGTTCGTGCAACTGATATACTATGAAATCTTAGGTTAATAAGTACTGCATTTATTCAATCCAATGACCTTCGCTAGCGATCCCACATTGCCATCGAGCTATGTGTGGCTATAAGCGAAGGTCATTACATTAGTTAAATGCAGCACTTATTATCCTAAGATTTCATAGTATATCAGTTGCACGGACTTTCTGGACAAGGTAATACAATGCACCTTAAGAAGTCTCGTACCACTTTTTTGTTTAGAGTCGTGTATTTAAGTTACACAACATTAATTTTATGCGACTATATACTTGTATAGTAGAGATCGAGTACTATATATATATATCTACACCTGTTTAGTGGGATAAAGACTTAAATATGAAATACAATAAAAACAAAATAAACTTCAGTGCTAAGAAAAAAATGACAGAAAAACAAGATAAAATGATATTATTGTTATGAAGGACTCTGTCGAATTAGTTCATCTATTCAAAATTGAGAAACCAAATATACCATATTGTAGAGCTTTTCATGGAAGGCAAGCTCATATGCGTAACATCTCCGATCATCCTCTGTTTAATAGGAAAAAATACGATTTTTCAATGATTTACCATAGTTTTTCACTAATGGTGAGTCTCCATGTCTTCAATAATGTTCATCATAGAAGATGTGACCAGACACCAAACTTTTTCATAAATTGTCTGCGATTTATTACTGCAAAACATACCATTTGAAAGTTGGAGTGTAAGTATAGTTGAAAGGAGGGCCCACACTGCGTTGTCACATCGTCTCAATGCTGAATAGATGATCTAATTCGATAGGGTCCTTTATATTTTCTTAGTATTGAAATTTTTTTTTGTATTGTATATCATATTTAAGGCTTTATCGTAGTAAACATGTGTAATATCTATATAGTACTCAACTTCTACTGTACACGCATATAGTCGAATTAAATTAACGTTGTGTAGTTTAAATATATGACTCAAAACAAAAAAATGATACGACATCTTTTAAGTGCACTGTAATACTCAAAAACCTCTATTTTACTATTAGGTAGGCTTTATATTATACATAATTATGTAAGTAAATTTGATACTTTTAGGGTTGAAATGAAGGATGAATAGAACAGATCGTAGCACAACAAGCTCTCCTCTCTCTATATACTGTCATCATCTTGTACTACGTACTTTTATATGTATTGTATCAATTATTTTCATATGGCATGAATTCTATTTTGTCACTTTCTGTACTACCTGTACTTTTATCTACTTTGTTCTTTAAATGTATTAATTGCATGTTGTATTATCACATATTATTATATACCTTAACTCATGCTGTGTGTTTCCGTGTACTAATAGTTTAAAATTGCTATTCATAATATTATAATAAAATGTGATGTGAACATCTACATAACTCAAACTTTTAATTTATTCGACTATAGTAGTATAATAGTGGAAATTCTTTCGATTTTATTTCAAATTTGCGTTAGAACAACAAAAAAAAATTCAAATCACCAAAGCTTATAAGCATTATAAAATTCTTTTATTTTATTCACTGCATTTTGTCGAGCATTTTCCAAATTGGGTTGTACACGTTGATAATCACTCACAAGCGCATTTTTAAATTCATCAAAGAATGTTGGACAGCCGCTTGTACCATTAACTAGCTTCAGTTGATTCTCAGGAGTATTTATAAAGGTTAGAGTATTATCAAAAAGTTGTGTTGTTTCATTTGTTCTTCGTAGTATTTCACTTATCCTGATCAATGTGATATTAGCACGATCTGGATGTTCAGCAAAATATGAACATGCTTTATCCTTGATTACAGCTAATGGATCAATATTGAAGATCTCTTTTAGTTTCGATATAAAATCATTCCATGTTAAAGGCGAAACTGTATCAATAGAAGCACCAATCTACAAATAAAAATATTCATGTTTTAAAGTTTTTAATAAATCATTCAAAAACCTACTATGAGTAGAAGAAAAATACCGGTAAAACGCATGATGAAATTATTGAGTCGACTGCTTATTTTTCATATGCTTATATACAATCGAGACCCTGGCTATTGGAATAAATTATGGTATTTTACTTTTTTGTCAATAAAAAAAAAATCTTTTATGCTATATAAGTTTTAAAGTGTATGACATATAATTATGTACATAATATCGGCAAATAATTGCTTAAACTAAGCGAAAGAAGAAACGCGCCCGAGATGGATATAGTGCCCAAAGAGCTTCTGCATGTTGCGGACGATGAAAAATATGTTTTTTTTTCTTTACTATAATTAATCATGTTTACTTGCTTACTTCTATTTCATATTACAATAAATATGAAAAAGCAAAGTGCAAATAACTAGTTTGTCCTATAGGAAGAAAGTGGATTCGTTTCTAGTGACATAAAATATGAAAGGAAGAATATATCAGGCAAAAGAAAGCTAACAATCATTTTAAAGAGAAAATTTGGTCATTGAAATAAGATATCTAAATCGAAAAACAAGTTTATAGTTGATAGGATTCTTTGTATTTAAATAAAAATGCTTTCAAGTTTATCAAAGTATCGCATTTCACGGTAAAAATTCTGACATTTTCAATAAAGAATATGATTTTTTTTAATATCACTATATTCAACGAATATGTAATCATATTAAAATTAATCAAATAGAATTATTTAAATTAACAAGATTATTCTTGATGTTTTTTCAACATATGTACATTCTAAGCTAATGAATATTAAAGCAAAGACAAATCTTGATTGAAGTTGTTTCTTTTTTTGCACTTTTTAATTTAATAACTATATTAGATATTTAGGAAGTGATATTATGTTATCGATTCATTATAAACCAGTCGATTGTCTATCATCATAATTATAATAAGAATATAAAATTCTATCTGTTCAATATCACAATACATATTATTATAATTTTCTCATCAACATCTATTAATCTCCTATATTGATATACTATCTAACTTTATCATGATGAATCCATCAAAAAAGAAAAAAATACAAAAACCTACATTTAAATATGTCCTAGTTTCATTCCTATTACAATAAAAAAAAAAACTAGTTGATATGTAAATTAAAACCATTTGTTTATCTTATTCTGCTTTACATTTAAAAACAATGTCTGATATATCGGTTATATATATCAGCAAATATATACATTGTGTATTATTGGAATTAATTAAAAAAGAAATTTCTCGTAAATAAATAAAAAAAAAACAAGAAAAATTTTTAAAATAATGATCCATGAAAATATTCGATTAGTTATATTTCTTATGATTTTATATATCGATCAATATAATTGTTCAATAGATGATATTTCATCTGCATTTATTTACGGACAAAAACCATTGGTAAGATAAGATTTCAAAAGAGAAAAGCAAAAATAATAATTATAAATTGAATTTTCTAGTCATATTATTCATTAGAAAAAAGTCATATTGTTCGTCGATCAGCTAGTAATACTAAATGTAGGTTTAAAAAAAAAAAGTAATATTATACTAATATTATTTTAAATGATGAATATTTATTTAGGTGGAAAAGATTTGATTTGTTTAAATAATGGTAAATGTAAAGATCATCAATGTCAATGTTCTGAACATTTTATGGGTCACGATTGTAGTATAGGTACGTTAATATTGAATTAATTGATTTAATTTTTATTAATATTTATAATATTAATTAGCACGATGTGGTCATAGTTGGTGTTCTCAAACAGGAGGAAAATGTAAACATAAAAAACATTGTCAATGTTTGCCTCGATCTGGTGGTCCAGATTGTAGTGGTGGTATGATGTTATAATAATAAATCATAATCTTAATTATTTTATTGTTGTATATATATATGTATGTATAGTTAAATGTAGTAAAGGAGCATCAATAAGTTTAATTTGTTTTAATGGTGCTACTTGTAATAATGAATCAGATACATGTAATTGTCGATCAGGTTATCAAGATGGTGGAATGGGTTGTTTAACAAGTTAATTATGAATAAAATTTCATTTACATATATATATATATAGATATAAATATTGATTTGTAGAAGTATGTCCGAATGGTGATTTATGTTATACAAATAATGGTATTTGCACAGCTACTGGATGTAAATGTCGATCACATTTGATCAATGGTTCTGATTGTTCTCGAAGTAATTTTGTTGTTTTTTTCTAGACAAAAAAAAATGTTTCTATCATATCTATTATTAAGGAACTTGTGAAAAATCAGGTTTAATTTGTCATAATGGAGGTACATGTATTGATGAAAAACATTGTCAATGTTTATATGGATGGACTGGTATAACTTGTAATGGTCGTAAGAGATAAAGAATAAAATTTAATTGAAACAAATTGTTGTTTTTTTCGGTTTTTGTTTTGAGGAAAATGTCCTGGATTTACAGATCTTATTTGTTATTCAGCAACATGTCCTGTTAATGGTAGTGCACCAGTATGTCAATGTTCAGGACATGCAAAAGGAAAAGATTGTTCTGGGAGTAAATAAATATAATTATGAATTATATTTATTCGAATAGATTTCTTATTTAGTTACTTGTGGAAATAAAGGATTGGCCTGTTATAATGGTGGTACTTGCAATGAAACAACATCAACATGTACCTGTTTAATTGGATATGGTGGACCAGATTGTAGAGCTGGTATATGAACATACCGTGTATAGAATTAATCGTACATATTTATTTTTTTTTGTTATAGTACAATGTGCAGGATATCCAAATTTGTTTTGTTATAATGGTGGTTGTCCATCTGTAGGACATGATAGTGAAGCACAATGTATTTGTTCAGATCCATATACAGGTACTGATTGTTCACAAGTAATGTGTAGTCATAGTGCGGTTACATGTTATAATGCCGGTGAATGTATTGATGGTCAATCTTGTACTTGTCCACCCGGTTATGGAGGAGTTAATTGTCGTGGACGTAAGTAGATTTTATCTGAAAAAAAAAAGTTTATATTAACATTTGTTTTATTTTAGTTCCATGTGGATCGGGATTTTGTTATAATAATGGAGAATGTATAACCGATAAAAAGTCTGGAGAAATGAAATGTCTTTGTCCAGGCAATTATACACTTTCCGATTGCTCAGGAGAAAAATGTTCGGAAAATGGACCGATTTGTTATAATGATGCTATTTGTGAAAAAGATAAATATGGTAATTATACATGTCAATGTATTGGACAATGGGCAGGTGCTGATTGTTCAGCGAGTAGGGTTTTTTGTTTTTCATAGATTAGAAATGTTTAATTTATATAAATAAATATAGCACCATGTCAAAATGCGTTATGCTATAATGGAGGATATTGTGATGATGATGGAAAAGGAAAAGATGGTTGTGTATGTGTAAATGGTTGGCAAGGGACTGATTGTCGAGGAAGTAAGAATAACAAAATTAAAATTGATTTTAATTCTTTGTATACTGATCTATCTAGGATCATGTGGACCTCATGGACCTATTTGTCATCATGGTGGATCATGTGTATTAACTTTCAATTCAACTTTTATTTGTCAATGTGAACATCCATGGTCTGGTCCAACATGTGAAGAACGTTAGTTAAATTATATTATAATTGATATTATTTTTATATTTATTTTTATATTTTTTGCACTTTATAAATTCTATTTCAATAGAAATATGTGGTACCGGTGGATTGGTTTGTTTGAATAGTGGTATTTGTTCATTGACTACTGCCGATCATATGTCGCTAACATGTATATGTCCATCAGGTTTTACAGGTGACGATTGTTCAGCTGTTGTATGTGGTTCCGAAGGTAATGCTTGTTTCAATGGTGGTCATTGTAATGAAACAACTGGAATATGTATTTGTCCTCCACCACTTACTAGTGATGATTGTCGTGGCAGTAAGTATAATCTTTCAAAGATAAGATATATTAATGAAATATTTTTTGTTTTTTTGTAGATATTTGTGGTGCTGGTACAGCTAATAGTATAGTCTGTCAAAATGATGGTATTTGTGTAGAAAATTCTGAAGGTGAATGGACATGTAATTGTACACATGGATGGACAGGTCCATATTGCATGTTACATATGTGTGGTGATGATTCTTCAACAAATTTAGTATGTGCACATGAAGGAAATTGTATACATTCACCAATAACAGGTGATTATATGTGTTCATGTCAATCTCAATGGACAGGAATTGATTGTTCGGGTATGAGATGTTCAGAACCAGATATTGCATGTTATAATCAAGTTGATTTTAATTCAAATGTATGCACACCTAAAGGATGTGATTGTCTCAATGATGGTTATGGAGCTGATTGTAGAGGTGTTCGATGTGGTCTAGAACCAGGTCGATGTTATAATGGAGCTGTATGTATTGATGGATTACGAGGTATTTGTTCATCTTGTCCGCCTGGAGTGAATGGTAGTGATTGTTCGATGAGTAATAGATTTTTTCTTTCTCTTCTTCTTTTTTCTTCTGTATTTTTAATTATAGTGATATGTCCTGGTGTTAAAAGTGGTTACTGTTTTAATGGTGGTATTTGTATTGGTGGAACAAGTTGTTTATGTGGTCTTCGAAGTGAATGGTCAGGTGTTGACTGTTCGGAAAGTAAGTGTTTTAATAATTAAATTTTGTTTGTATTATTAGTATTTATAGGACGATGTTCGGGCAATTATAGATGCTTGAATGGTGGATCATGTAGTAATAATGTTGCAAAACGTGAATGTATATGTCCACCAACATTCGAAGGACCTCACTGTGAAAATTCAATAAAGCATTAGTTATTCAATTGAATATTAGTAAAACGACAAATAAAATTTGAAATAGAAGAAAATATCTTATCATGAAAAAAAAAGAACAACTAATTATGTCTAAATAAACAAGACAGAATTAATTTTATATGAAATTTTTGGAGACTTGTTAAATACTATAAATAATAAATAATCATAAATCTACAGAATATTTATCCTAGTTAATCATTGATTGTCGATTCATCAACATGTGAAATTGTATGTTCAGTGAACTACTGTTATTAAAATCATATACAACTAATCAAACCAATTAGAACAGAAATTCTCACTCGTTGCTTACATACTTCGTACGTCTCTAGTCTCTATTTTTACTCTATGAACATATTTTGAAAGTGCCAAGTCGTTTCTTCGGTGTCCTTCTAAGTCATATCGAATCATGATATAGAGCAACGTTGCATTGATGTGTACTAAGCCGCTACGAAATAGTCCCGAGGATTTCTGAGTTGGAATGAAGTCAATCTAAAATGATAGTAAATCTATTTATTTAATAATCTTATTTTATTTCAAAAGACTATGGTCAATAATAATATTAACGACTTATCGATAGATCTGCGACAACTCACAGTTCTGTGAATATTCAACTTCTGTAGACATTTGAAAACATGGAGCTTGAATTAAAATATTGTATTGTTTCCGAATACAGATTCAACATATTTCTAAGATTTCTAGTTTATGAATTATGATTCGACCTTGTAGAGGTGCGAAAATTAAGCTTCGATGGTGAAAATGGACGTTTTTAACAGCAATAGTCTCTTTTACGCAAATATTGTATTACCAATTTTTTTTTGCATAGAATTAAAAACGAAATTGTTCGCTGTAAAGTGATATAAGAATTGAAGGTTTCTAGAAATGACTGAGCTCACTTTTCAAGTAGTCTTTCCATAGAACTCGAGAAAAATGCCACAATTAGCAAGGTGTACCTTACGAAAATGTTGATTGCTGACAAATGACTAATAACAAACTAATCATTAGTATGCAATTTTACAGAGAAGTGTTTATTCTTTTATTCGCTGTATTTGAAATAATTTTCGTTGCCACTTTGGCTAAGTTTTACTGCACTAAAACTCATCCAAACTCAATTTCTGATGCTAAGCTAATGTTTTCAAATTTCTACAGATTCCTTTGAGAGACCGAAAAATAAGCGAACATTTTGTCAAATTACTTTTCGATAGTCCGTTATTTATGATTTGATTAAAATAAGTTGATAAATTAGCGCGTTGTTAATTTGGATTCAATACTGATTCAGAACACTCAAAAGATGAGAACGATTTTCAATTGTTGATATTTACTGTCGTACAATTCTTGAGTCAACGATCTCAAAATGAGAGGTCTACTGAAAAGCAGACAAAACGAATAGAAAAGACTAAGAAATCGAAATTAGAAAAAAATTTGATATCCAAAAATTTGTTTAGGCTATAATAGGTCACGAGTAGAAAGAGCTAATATATACGAATAACACACAAGCGCGCTGCTGCTTTTCAAGGTAATTCTATTAATATATAACGGACTACTGTATTGTTCACGGTAGAACAGAAGCAAAGAAGAATGTATATATTTGTAAGACAAATATTAAAGAAAGAAAATGCATATGAAAAGGATTTTGATTCGGAGTATACTATCATTGATTTTCTACGATTTTTTTTAAAACCTAGATATAAGTAGGTAAATTGTACTACTTTAAAGTCAGCACATTCTATGAATTTTTGCTGAAATTCATAAGAAGTCATTATAACTTCATCTTCAATTTGATCTTCTCTGTTAATAATTATGTCTCAATTTCAGCTTCACATAATATCGATTCTAGCTGTTCTCATCAAAATCGAACCAAAAAAAAAGTATTAAAGCCGTGTCAGATTGTAATTTATGCTCAGGAAAACTTTCAATCTTTTCCTTTATCTTATTACTTCACAGAAAGATAATTTTTAAAAAAAGATACAAAGTGGATACCAGTGAAATATACAAAAAGTGCAAAATTATTTTTTACAGTACCACTATTTCTGTTCATGCCATTCTGTTTATGCGTGTCTGATAAAAGTAAGTCATATATGGTTCGAAAGATGAAAAAGTTTCCTATCGATTGGTAAAACAATTTTCTTTCCAAAACTGTGTCTATGAAAACAAATAAAGTGCAACATTTTCTGAGATTACTTCTACATCGTATGTTATATAAAGTTCGAAGTCAATTTTGATCTATTAGACAAAATTCGATCTTTTATAATTTGTATCATTTGATTTCACTAGAAGAACATGTATTATATATATATTGTTTATTGAAAATATAATCTTTGTTATTTTTTTAATGATGAAAGAAAGAAAAAAAGCATAATAAAAGCAAAAAATGAAAAAGCAATTTCGGAATGTTCATAATATTAAGAAAAAAAATATATATTTTGCAACGACAAAAAAAAAATAATGTTTATTATTTTAAATCAAATCATTTTAGATAAAAAATTTACGAATCATTATGAAAAATAATAATAAAACCGGACTAAATCGTATTTGATCAATACCTAAAAAAATAATAAAAATAATTCCATAAAAAATAAATCTAACATGGAAAAAAGTATATTTTACCATTAGTACAATGTTTGATTGGTCGACCATCTATATCATATGTTGTTTCTATACGTTGTCCATCTTTACAATCACATCGTTGCCCTTTACAGATATTAAAACCACATTCTTCATTAGTTCGACATGCTGTACCAACCGCTGGAACTATACAAATAATAAAATCAATGAAAGCAATAAAACAAAATAAGAAGTTAGAACAATGATATTTACCACATCTATTATCAAATAAATAATATGATGGTCGACACAAACATTTATTTTTATCTATATTACATATTGAATTTTCATCCATATATTGACAAATATTTTCTTGATAGATACATTTTTCTTCTCCGAATTGATAAGGAACTGAAAAAAGAAAATCTTTACTTTAAAAAAAATCAATGAAAATAGGATATAATCATCTTCAATTTGATTTTGATTCTTTTCTTACAATCTCCAGAAAAGATTTTCTACCATTTAGAATTGGTTCTTTTAAGAATGCTCATTCCGTTACAAACATATTTTTCGTTTCTATACACGCAATGAAAAACTTTGTTGTATCACGTCGCTGACGCTAGTTTTTCAATAATTAATCAGCGGAATCATAGTTTCTAAGATTGCATTTTTTCGGGTACTTAGAGTAACACAACATACATATCTATTATATAACACTCGATTAAAAGAAATGCTCAAGTCCAGTGATATAAATATTTTTATTTTGTGAAATCACATTGTTAATAAATGAAATAACTTTACCACATTGAGATTGTTCAGGTCGATAACCAAGTTGACATCGAGCACGATCACATGATGCATCACATTCAAGTGAATTATTAGCAGTAGCAAGAACATATTCCCAAAGACCTGATCGATTACATGGTTGATTTAATTGAAGTTCATATGGAATTTTAACTTAATAATAATAATAATAATAAACTATCAAATAAATAAATATAGATCATTACTTACTACATCTAAGACCAGTTTGATAAAATCCATTTCTACATACACAATCATAACCACGACATTCAAAATTAAGATTTGTTTGACAATTTTGTGTACATCGTTTTTCAACTAGATACAAATGAATTTATCGATTAGAAAATTTTTTAATATAGAATAAAATTTTATGTTTTTTACTGCATGTTTGTGATTTGGGATCTAATAATGATTCATCTTTACATTTGCATACTTTATATGGAGAACCATCATTTAAATAGTCACATATAACATTTCCTTTGCCTTGACAATCTGTTTCTGTATTACAAGAATAAAATTGACGTTCATGTATACCAGGAAATATATATTTTGAAAATGATTCTAAATAAAATTTTATATATTAAGAATAATTACAATATTTCAAGAAAACATTATTTATATAAACTGTTTAAAACAGCAATTCTAGAATGTACGTTATTAAATAAATAATTCCAAGTATTAGTCATAAATGATTAGTTTAAAAAGATTCCATCCTCTTCGAAATATACAAGTCAAAAAAAAAATAGAAAAGATAATTTTGGAGACTATTTTTAGCCTGTGCAATCCTTATAACTCCTAGCAGGAAGTATTTAGGAATTTTGAGTCTATAACAAGTTTTGCTCTACTCATCGAGATCTATCGATCCTAAAAAGTTTGAAAATTTTCCGATGAATTTTTCTCCACAAGTGCTAAAAAGAGACGAATGTCGATCCTCTTAAGATTAGTTCGTCATTATGTAACTTCTAAATTTGATTCAAGAATTTTAATAAAAACAAAAAAGTCTCATTTTGAAAATGTGCTTTATAATTTCTCAAGCATACCACATTGTCCAATTGCATTTATAAAACTAACACGACGATTACAAAAACATGCTTCATTTTGACAAAAAGCATGTTCTCCATATTTAACAATACAATCATCATTTGTAAAACTAACACAATTCGTTGTCTGAGATGAACTAACATTAACAGTACCACTCAGAACAATATTGGTTGTTGCTATATAAAACAAAATACAACAAAAGTATATGTCCATTTGAATAGTTAATATTTATTTACTGCATGTTCGATTATCAGATGATACACGATAACCTGGTTTACATACACATGCCGATGGCGGGCTCTATTTGAATATATTAGTATCGTATATATATAAAGAATGATTAAAGTTCATACCGAAGGAGAGATAAACGTATTAGCTGGACAATCATCAGAAGTTTTAAATTCGCTAGTAGTTTGATTAAGTAGAAAATCTATAATAATGAAAACAATATATAATTATAATGAATTCTAGCTTGAAACTATCGACTCTCTTACGGCAATATGAATTGCTTTTAACAGGATATGCATAAGGTTTGCAAATACAATAACTTCCACGACTTGATTGCGTTGCACCATAACCGAACCATTTTCTACAGGCGCTTTCAGTTAAACCAGCTATATTTGGTGCCATAGGATCATTATCAATGTACACTCGATTAGTTATTGGCACTTAAAAAGTACATTTATAAGATGAAGACAAAAAGTTTAGAAACACAAAATTTTTGACTTTTTTTTCATTAGTAATACAATAGAGAAAAAAATTTTCTCTCATGCGATAGACTAAAAGTCTTTTTTCTGTTGTTCTTATGAAAATTTATATGAATTTATGATGTTTTATACTTCGCGGAGCCTTTCGTACTTTTTCCTAATAAAAAAAAAAACGGTCAAACATATAACATTTCTAAACTTTTTGCCTTCATTTTACAATACGACATTCATATTTTTTCAAAATTTCTTAATTTCAACAAATTCGACTAATTGATACAATACACTTACCACATTTATTAACATTTCTTGTATAACCAATACTGCATAGACATATTCGTCCTGATCCAGTAGCACTATTTGGAGGACAGAATACAGATTCTTTTGCTTCTGGCAATGTAACATTCAATTGATACCCTAGATATAAAAACAAATTACACTATTACAATATCTTCGTGTTATACATACAGCAACCAGTATTATTATCATTTATAAATGCTATATTTTTACATTGACATCGATCATTTGTATATGATTCAACAGGTCCTGTAAATAAAGCTTGACAATCTTCTGTTGTCAATTGTCCATTTGTATTTATTGAAGGTCCTACATATTCAACTAATTGTACTGTCAAACGAACTAAAATACAAGAAATAGATTTCATAGAAATATTTCTTTTTTCTGTGTATTTGAAAATTTTCTTCTTACCACATTGTCGAAAATCATTCGATGGACGATAACCAACATTACATTCACAATGATTATCTTTTAGAGATGATTGTAGTGGACAATCTTCCATTGGTTGAATAAGTGATTGATTTAATGGTGCATCTATTGAAAGAAAGAAATAATTATACTTTGTTTTTTCTTTTGTATAAATAATATTATGTTGTTAACGTACAACAATGAGTTTGATCCTTATTCGAAAAACTTTGATTTCCCGAACAACGACATTCACCAATAGTACAAAATAATGCATTTTTACCAAATAAATCCCTACATATTTTATTATCTAATTGATTTGAATTGCAAGATGATTGAAAAATTTCAGAAGATAATTTTATTCCTAAAATATTTTGTATTTTAATAGAATATTTATATTGAATAGATAAGATTACGAACCACATTGACGATTATTATTAATTGCGTTATATCCTGCAGAACATTCACAAATGCCACTTGTAATATTTCGTAGAGCTTTTTCTGTTGGACATTTATCATCAGTTGAATTTGTTGTCTTACCAATATAATATACTACGAAAAAAAAATTGTTATGAAAATTTTATATTAAGCGAAATTTTCTGAGAATTTTCTGAGAATATCGTATATTGTCATTGTAGGTTGTTTTTTTTTGTAATGAAGAGCAAGTAAATATACAATGTAGAACAAAGAATTAAATTGGAATAATAATTTAAATTTTAGTCTTTTCAATGTTTTTCTATGTTCTCTATCTATGGACAAGTTCTAAAAAATCGACAAGATAAAACATCAAAACTTTTCGATTCTACCGAGTTTCTGTACAATGGTGTATCAGATACAGTTGAAATTCTTGTTTTTTTTTAAGTATTGTTCGTATTTTGACATTGTTTTTTCGAACGAAGAGAAATAGAAAGCAATCAAAGAGAAAAAGTCGGAACTCTGAAGTGTCTCTAGCATCTGTAAAAAAAGCTCGTTTTGATCCTTGCGACTCCCGTATCTCCCTCAACGACGCATTCAAGATTTAAAAAGCCTAAGACAAATTTTTCTCTATTCATCGAGATCTATTTATTCTTAAATTTTGAAATTTTTCTGATAAATCTTTCCCGGGAAAGTACTGAAAAGGAGAAGGGTTCTCTTAAATATGTCACAAGTTTACTTCATTCACTAAAAAACACGGTGTTTTCATTGAAAAAAAATGCTGTTACGAAACGAGGGAGAATAGTTTTCGGTACTAAATAACTTTGATCAGTATGGTAAGTCAAACTATATTTTTGAGGAAAATTTTAATTGAATAGACTCGATTCAAGTTTAATAATTCATGATCCGATTTTCTCAAGTGCAGCCTAACACATACGGAAACTCTGTTTTAAATAATAAAATCTTATCTTTTCTTACCACATTGGCTTGGATCGTTTAAATCTCGAAATTTATCTTTACCACATGAACAAATATGTTTATCTTTTCGTGCTTCACATATTAATGGCTTAGGACATAAACCATCCACATCTATAGCTTTATCTTGAGGAGTAATACGAGTACAAAGACCATATTCATATATATCATTTATCCAATCACGTTGAATTTTTACTAGAAAAAAAAATATATATATACATTTTTAATAGGATTTTCCTTTAAAATATCATTACCACATGATTGATCTTTAGTAATAAATTCATAACCAGGAGCACAAACACATAATTTATTATTAGTTTCATATTCATTATTGCTTCCACTAGTACAATTATTTGTAAAATCATGTAAATTAAGATCATTTGAATTTGGAAATATAACCAAAGGTTTTCTATTTGATTCTTTTTCTTAAATATTAAAAATATTTCAAAATTAATATATATTCTTCATTATCTACATACCACATGCATTATTTTTTTTAATATAACCAAAACGACACCAACATGTTATTTGATCAGCAGCTTGTATACATGCTGCATTAATATCTTGACATGAACCACATTCACCATAATTAGATACTGATGAATCTAATGGTGATAATAATGTACCGAGAATTCGTTCTATTAAAACGAAAAATTATATCAAACAAAAAAAATCTTTTGTTTTTTTTTGAAATTATTTACCACATTGTTCATGCTTATCGTCAACTTTATATCCATATGGACATTTACAAAATTTAGTTGTTACATTTTGTGGACCAGCAATACATTTTGCAACAATATCTATACATGAATTATCATCGACACAAAGTGCCTGTTCTCTATTTGCATCAGACCAATTATTATAGATTTTAACCAATTTTCGTTCTAGAAAATAAATAAATAAATAAATATCATATTTATTTTACAAAAGCTATTAACACAATATTCCTACGGAATTAAAAGATGTAATTGTTGTTACTAATCATACAAAAATTGTTTTATTCTATCTTTTTACTTAATTCTCAACAACATGTAATAAGACCGTAGATCTGATATTATCAAGAAACGTTATTGATATACAGTCTGTGATCGTATATCAACAATGTTTGTGGAGAGAGATTCAAACTTTTACCTCTATGCTTCAATATTTCTTTTAAGTCATGTTTCATAAAACTAATTAATAAAAAAAAGAAAATACATACTACAATATGCTTGATTATCAGAAATGTCATAACCAGGAGCACATCCACATCGTGAATTTGAACAATGTTGTGACCAACATTCTGTATGACTTGCACAAACACTATTCAAATTTTTAACTAAAATAAATGATGATTCTTTTTTGTTTTTTTTTTTTTCAAAAATCATTTAAAAAAAAGCAAATTTCAACATACAACAAAGTCCATTTTTAGCTGTATAATCTTGAATACATTTACATGTTTTTTCGGAACAAATTGTATTCTCTATACAATTTTCGTTTACTTCACAATGTTCACCTTCGTAAGCAGAACGATTATTTATTTCTAAAAAATAATAAATTAAATTTTTTTTTCTTTTTTGTTAAAATTACTTACCACATCTTGATTTACATGGTACATATGCTGGAGAATTACATTGACATTTTCCGCCCAAACAATGAATGTTAGGTCCTTCACATTGTGTATCATCCTGACAATTACCATCCAATTGAACTAAATTTATAATTGATGATAGATAGAGAAACAATGAAACAAAAAATTTACCAGCAATTGTTAATGAGATTGAAAGAATTAAAATATAACCGTATAGAAACGATCTCATTTTTAATACTAAAATTTCAAAGATATAAAAAGAAGTTCTTCTATTTTAGAACAAAAAAAATATAGAAATATAATGAAAATTATTTTCTTCTTCTTTTATAACTACACATATTCGATTACAATAAATCAACTATAGAGCTATCAAATCACCTCTATTTGACGTCGTTTTCTATTTTTGTTGTTACTCAACATAAGTAATTTGAAGAAATTATTCATCAAATGTCTCGTTGTTGTTCTTCTACGCAAAAAAAAAGAATCATCAAATACTAAGTAATTACTTAGTTTTTGTTTCGAAAAATATGATTCTTTTATATATACATATCATATTTGATATGTATATACATATATAGAAGAGTCTCGTTTTCATTTCAATGTAGAAAAACGTGTTGCAAGTAATTTTATCTTTTTGTTATTGATCTGATTAAGTATTTTATTACGTAAAGAAATCTACAACTGACTTATTCAAAAAATTTAATTAATTTTTTTCTCATGCCATCTTTTGTTATACAAGTCAAGAAAATTTTGTTTATTATCGATATTGATACGAGAAAGTAAAAAGATATCTATATTTATATTAAAGCCGACATGTTAAATGTAATTTTATCTAGATGAAACTTTAGAAATAATTGTCAAACTTTGATAATGAGTTAAGCTATTTCACAGATTCAATTTTTATTATAATTAACTTCCATTGCTCAATAATATAGTTTGTTACTAAAATTGGTTAGTACCAATCAACATTTGACGCTTAAAAGATATAACTTCTACAGCATACATAAGATATTGATGAAGCTTTGCATAGATGTTTGGTTCATGGAAATACATTGATTTAAAAACATTTCACATCTTCATACCTTATCGTTTAGGAAATTTTTAAGAACCAAGCTGCAAAACAAGGCTTTTACGCGTACAAATTTTTTATCAATATATTTCAAGCTGCAGAGTTTGGGTTGTTTTCATTTGAGAGAGAATTTCTTACCACTTCGAATGACGAAAAGGATTCTTTTTTTGGTTTTTATTCTATTTCATTTTTTCGATCATCGAAATTTTAAAAGTCTGGAATTTCTCAGTATGGTTTTCTGGAAAACTGAGGATTTTTCTAGTATTGATGATTAATCAGGAAATTTCTTTCCTTTATCTGAAGGACTACACATATATTTATCAATTAAAAAAAAATACAGTTCTCTAGCATGAAGTATATGGAGAAAAACACAAGAGTTTTTTTTATATTACTTAAAATGGGGATGAAGCATAAATATATTACATGTCAATTGCAATACTTGTCTATATATATTAGAGTAGATTGTCCTCGTACGAGATACATCACAATAGATGATACTACCTACCATCGCTTTAATATTTATTATACCATTCACAAAACATAATAAAGATAAGCGAATAGCAAATTAATAATTTTTATTTGTTTGCTGCCTTACAGGTTTTTTTTGAAGACTAATAATGATGGTTAATTTTTATTAGTAATTCATAAGAAATAGGATATTTTATTTAATATGAAACATCCATGAGGTGCCTAATTCGAGTTCGAATATAAATGAAGAACAAATTGTCCCTTATTACTTCGCATATAAATGAAAAAGAAACGGCATTTATGTTCAAATAGCAAAAAACAAAAAGAAAAAGATACATTTTTATTTCAAAACAGAATCCCTGTTGAAGCAACAAAAAAACCCAAATGATGAGAATTGTAATCTAAATTCTGATTATAATGGCGATCATTACTATTCTCACCTTAAATCCTGCAGCAAACGTCAGATATATTACAGTAGGAATAGGTGATGATACACCGAGAAAACACATTTGCCTGCGTAACTGATCTTTTATTTCAGCATCGTGACGTGGCTTTGTTCGTTATAATTAATGTCAAATATATATACATATGATGCATATTGTCATAATTATTTTATTCTATTTTGTGATCCACATAGCAGCATGCCGTCATTATCAAACAGTGAAAGATTATTTTATAGACGTAAGGAATTTATGCATATATTTGTAAAAATTTCTGTTAACACAAACTCTTGATTTTCCAGATATACAAAACATTCATTAGTATGACTATTGAAAAACTTGAAAGAAGATTCAGTAAACATTAAAAAATGTTTATGACTATCGCGAAATTAATTCCGTCACATATTGCCAATACTCAATTTTTTGATATTTCAACATTGTTCAATCATTATACAGATGATTTACAAATCGATGACACAAATATTCACAAAACTGAATTCATTCGACACCTGAAAATTGACGATCCTAAAAATGCAAGAATCCGAACAATCAAACACAATCAATGAATCATTAAAAATGATGCAACCTGTTAAATTCTTTTACCCTAATATTTATATCCTATTTCAGCTATACGCACTTATTTCAGTGGTAATAGCTAGTACTGAGCGTTCATTTTCTATTATAAAGTTAATTAAAAACATATTTGTGGAATCGAATAAGTGTCGAATGTTTAAATGATTTAGCTAGCATCATCAATATTCATAAAAATATCGCTCAAGAATAAAATATCAAAAATGTTATCAATGAATTTGTAAAATCAAAACATAGATTAAATTTTACAGATGAGTTTAATTAATATGTCTTTTTTTATTATTTATTCTTTTTTGTTTTTCTATTTCTTAATTGTACAGTGTAATAATCAACAATTGATAAAGATGAATAAAAATAAATTGCGATATATTCCATCATGTACATATACAATAAAAAGTTCTATCGAAAATGGAAACAAAAAACTTTGATTCCCCTCTTTCCATCGAAAAATCCTTGTATTTGTGTCTATCTATAAATTTAGATTATTTGATAAACTTCATAAGATAGTTTTAAATCTAGCTAATATTTCTCAAAGTTATCTGTTCATTATATTTTATCTATTTATGATTAAAAAAAAGATGAATAAATTCCTTTCTTTTATTTTTAACTATCCCATCATTTTATTAATCAAAAGAAGAAAAAAAAGACACATATCGTTGATGTGTACTATATAATACTGAATATAATTGAATACGTTTATTTATGAGCATAGACAGCATTTGCATTATCGGGAGAATTTGGAACACCTGTACCAGCTCCTGATCGATATGAACCAATCTAAATATACAAATTCTTATAAATTTAAAACATATTTATCAAAATTCTACTTGTGAATTTTCAATATTTGCATTAAGACTTTGAATATGATTTGAATTATGTACTGTATTATAATCCGATCGAAAGTAACCACCAAAACGTAAAGCTTGATGAAATACATGAAAATCATCATGTACTTGAATACCAAGTCTTGGAAGCCATTCAGCTGGAAAATATTGAGCATGTAATAATGAATAACCAAGTTTTGTTAAATGACCACTATATGTTGCATAACCAGCTGAAACAAACAAATTCATTGACGGTGTACCAGTACATGGCCATAAATTTAAATTACGAAAATTGTCAATTGTAAAATAACCTTTTGTTAGAGCATAATAAGCAGCACTAGTTAAGAAATAACTATGTGGTTGTAAATAACCAACATGTGCAAGATCATTAATAACACTTGGTATTTGTGTTTGTGTTTGTGTTTGTGTTTGTGTTTGTGTTTGTTGTGGTTCTTGGTAATCATATTCAGAAGGTTGAGTTTGAGCATCAGCACCAAATGGGAAAACACCAATTTTCTGATAAGTACCTTGTGAAACAACGCCTACTCGAAGAGCAGCTAAACCAACAGGTGTTAAAATATTTGATGAACCATATACATATTTAGCAGAGGCTAATTGTGGAATACTTATTTGTGAATTATCAGTTGATGGACACCCAAGTGAAGCTAAATCATTAGTTGATAAATAACGAATATGTATTGCTGAAATAGCAAGTGCTGTCGGTACACAATCATTTGTTAAATAACCAGCTTGAACAAGTGTATCTAATGAAAGTGTTGATGTTTGTAATGGATATAAATTTAATGATAGAAGTTGTGATGGTAAAACATGACCAGATATACTTGCTTGTGCACCTAAACCTGTAAGTAAATTTGTTTGACCATATGTATTAATATAACCAGCATTAAATAAACTATTTGTATCAATTGATTGTACAGGAACTAGATTAACTGTTGCGAGTTGTGGAAGTGTAATATGACCTAAATCAAGAGCTGAATATGCATTGGCTGTCAATAAATTTGTATTTGGTGCACACATGCCACCATTTTGAAGTGCTGGTAAAGAAATAGAATTATCAACATATAATTTACGTTGTTGAACAGCAGTCATTGTTTGTTGAAGTTGTATACCACTTTGACTTATACTATTAGCAACAGCATCACAAGTATGCATTGCTGAAAAATCACATGCTGATGGACTGTTGATTGAATAAGCTGGAAGCATTGAATTTAATTGTCGTTTGTAAAGACGTTTTTCTATTCGTTTTTGACCATTATTGGATGATGATCCATGTTTCAATGCACCTATTTATATTTTATGTAGAAATAAAAATTTTTTATTGTTTTTAAAAATTTCATATGATTTTAATTTACCATAACTTTGAATAACCAAACCCAATAAAACAATGAGAGAGATAGTTGATATAAAACAATGCATGATGATTGTAAATGATGTGAAAACCTATAGATTTGATTTTGTTTATATACTTGACGATGTTGAAGGTCTGTTTTTTTTGTCATTGAGAATAATTTTATTTTAACAAATAAAATATTTTCAAATATCTACCAGATGTTATTTCTTTATTAGAATATGATTGTTTTTTTCAGACATAGACATACAATAATAGAAATTAAATTAAGAATATTCGAGAATATAAAACGATTTTTTATTTCTATTTGAAATATACGAAACATGAAATATGTTATTGATTAACGATTATATTTTTAATAAAAATAACATGTCTACTAATTATTACACGACATATTTGTTTTCTTTTTATATTTTGAATAAATTTTAATCAAAAAATTAATAATCAGATATCATATTGAATCAATAA